TCTGATTAATACATAAAAATGACAGATGAGCTGTGACTCTTTCAGTGTTTAAATGTGTTCTTACACATGCTGAGCTTAAGTAAATGTACTAATTATGATGTGAAATAAATATAAATAAGATGTGAAATGTTTATTCTGGCTGTCTAATCATCCTTAAATATTTAAAATATATGGTGTTTATGACACTTAAGACTGAAAATCATAGACTATTGTAGGATGTTTAGATATCTTGTGCTTTTACTCTACAACATATTACAGTTGAGTCATATTTTACCCATAAAGTCTGATCTGCTTTATCAGTCACATTTTTTATCACCTGATTTCTTTCTGTTTAAAGTTAAGTGCTTGTTTTAAAGAGAGGAGCTTAGATGCAGGTAAATCTCTACACAAGAAAAACCTGGCAAAGTTTGTTCATCAGTAATGAATCATAACACATTATTAATTACTGATAATTACTATATTAGTTCATGAGTTGTTGATGCATAATTACTAGTTTACTAAAGAAACTTATTGTAAAGTGTTACCAATCATTTCTATAAGGGTTGAGTTTCTGCTGTAGGTTTACACTTTAACTGTTTAGCTGAACATCTTCATGGAGTTGTACTGAAAGCCTTGAGTGACAGTTCAGTAGTGAAGGATGAAGGACTACAGTACAGATGAGAAAAGGAGATTCTGATGAGGAGATAAAGAGTTAAAAAGACTGAAATATTATAACTGTAAAAATGTTTCTCATGGAGATTTGACTAACTTTGTGTTTCCTTCTGTTTTTTATTCCACAGCACCGTCGGTAAGTAAATAACTCTGTTTACTTCTTTCTCTTTCTCTCATTAGAGTGTCTCTCATTACTGTAGTTTTCCTCTCCTCCATTACTGAAAATAGCCCAGAACACACACAGCAGGAGCTTCTGACACACACTCACACACACACTATCTGCCTGTTTGATGAGTCTCTATATCAGTGACTCACAACAAGCAACAAATAAAGAGTCAGCAGCTCTGAAAGACTTGATTACTGAGATCCTCTCATCTCCTTCACTTCCATTCACTTCATTTAAGAATGATCAGCTTCTCTTATTCAGTCTGCAGAGTCTCTCAGCACAGATTCACTAGATGGACTGCAAAGAGTTAAAACTAATGGTAACGGAGCTGAAGGGGAGATTTCAGAGAAACGTTGTTATTTTTAGTTTTTTATGTGTCTCTCATGACTTCAAGCATTAAATCTTCAGGCTGTTTTATTCATTTTTACTGTCTGTAATAAGAGAGATAAGAGAGGAGAGAATGAAGAGGGAGAAGTGAAAGACACACTGAAACATTATATTATATTATTTATTTCACAGGGGCATTCAGGGACAGAAGCACAGAGCAGTGAGTATAATTCAGTGTATAATTTTACTGTGATGAGCTGATTGTTGATGAAGAATGTTTGTGTTGTAAAGACTGAATGTATTTATCTGTACTGTGTGTTCAGAGTGTTCAGCTGAACATCATCAGCAGAGAGAGTTACTAACACACACTTCAGCTCTGTATGTATCACTATAGTGTAGAGCTCACAGCAGCCTGAGATGACTGAACACCATTAATAACACTGTTACCTCATTCACACACAGTCACACACACACACACACACACTCACACACACACACACACACACACACACACACACACACACACACACACACATCTGATCTACACACAGTGATACTGACAGATTACAAAGTGAAACTCCCAGCTTTTCACACTGATTATCATTAATATAATCAGAAATCTGTTCTCTGAATATGAATTGTTTTATTCAAAAGAGCTTAAACATCTTGTTGATGTGGAGTCAGACATATTTATTACACAACTGGAGTTCTTTTGAGCTACTATTCTTAATATAGTGTATACAGGTGTAAGTTCATCTTTCCATGTTTTAAAACTCCATACTTTCTCTCTAAACAGAGTCTCTTAGAGTTAATACAGTCTTCATTTATCAGGTGAGCACATTGTTCTAAATATGCCACAATTCTTTAGCAAACTGTCACTGTAATTTTTTAATGCAAAATGCAAAAACATGGAGTGAAGTGTAATCATTACGGTGCTGATACTGATCAGTGTTCTGTATTCAGAGTTGAGTTACGAGAGCGTAGAGAGGAGATAATACTGATGATAATTTTGCGTGTGCAGAGTGGAGTTAATAAGAGGAATCAGTTCTACCAGTCGGACTATTTCTCGTGCATGATGTCCACTCCTACCAGGAGCTTTATTAGGTTCAGTATCCCTGTTTGACCATTTGGTGTTACCACAATATTTGAAACTGAAAATGTCTTTTAGTGATGTAAAACAAACAAAAACTCAAGGTGGATTTTAAAGGTATCATATACATTTGTACAAACATTTTTTCAAACAGTAAATTAAAATATTTATGTTTTATAAAATATTTCAATATTAATGAAATCTGAAATAATAATAATAATTATTATTAGATAATAATTGGTTTTCCATGAAAAATTAAGGGGCAACCTATTCCTTGGAAAAATATCAGGATATTTTGCATGCAGTGATTTTTCCCTTAAATAATATTTAAGAGTGCATAGCTTTTAGGGATAAATTAGGGCAAATATAGTGACAAATTAAGGTATTCTTGTTTCTTAAAGCACAACACTGAATATAATATAATATAATATAATATAATATAATATAATATAATATAATAATAACAATGGAAATATCAAATTATTATTATTATTATTATTGTGCTGCATTTTTCCTTTAGTTTGGCTCATGTGACTGGATATTACATTTGCTTAAACCACAATCAGCAGAGTCTCTACTCTTATTAATATCAGCTCTCAGTGATTCACACTGACACACCAACAGTCAGAAGTACACAAATTACTAAAGTAAAGGTACTAGTAATCTAAAAAAAACACTCAAGTAAAAGTTCAAGTATGACTTAGATTTACATGCTCATAAATGTACTTAAAGTAAAAAAGTGAAAGTATTTCTTTAAAAATCAGTTCTGAGATCAGTTTAGAGGGAAACATCCATCACACTGAGTTACATGGTTTATACTTAAACTGCAGGCATCATCCACAAAAATGCACTCGTCTAGAGCACCTGAACACGTTTACATGTTTGACTTCCTTTACAAGAAATTGAGATAGACATTGATGGAATTTCTAGAAAAAATGTTTGTATTATTTATTTATTTATTTGTTTGTTATTTTAGTAGTCAATACTAAACACCATACCAAATTATTCCTATTTCCAGACTGGGAGTTAAATGATACACAGACCAGCCCACATTCCAAACACACATCACACACACACACACACACACACACACACACACACACACACACACACACACACAGACAAAATGTGCTAATGTCCTGAAGTGTCGTTATATCAGGCTATAGGCTATTCCTAACATCGGTGCAGTCATCACCCTACATATTCCAACACTTCCACCCTGACACAAAACAGTAGCAACCAATCAGAAAGCTGGATTCACACAAACACAATGAACACTACAGCACTTTTACTTTAAAGCATGTCTGCTCAGCACAGACAGACAGAAACTTCTGCCCAGAAAAGATGACAAAACTAAGTTAAAATAAAGTCAGCTGGGATGTACAATGTTAAACCTACAAAGGTAAAGATGTACAAACTTAAAACCTGATAATTATTGAAGCCAAAAACACAGGTTACTGGCACAGCAGGCAGACACAAATGATGTGATGGGAAAGTTAAATCAAGGAATGAGGAAAAACAACACAGCAATCTTAAACACATGAAAAATGATTATGGTCTATTTATATCTTACCTGTAATGACTTGATACTGTCTGTCCATATGGGTGTCTGAACGTAACCACTTCAATATTTAAGGTGGAAAGGAAAATGAAGCTCACTTCAGCTTTATCTAGTCTCTATCCACTTACAGTCTCAATTACAGTCAGATAACCAGCGCTGTATCACTTCAGACGGCACTGAGTAAAGCCTTGGATGTAGGTTTTTTTCAGATGCATTGTCCACATTAAGCTCTGGCTCGGCGCTGTCGATCTCTTTGGATTCCATTGTTTTATATGCTTATTTTTCTTCCTTTTCCCATGTGCTCACTGCTGGGGCCTGTAAGCCAAAGTCACTCCTCTAGCCCCTCCCCCACTTTACATCCAGGAGGGAGCCAATTTGTGCTTTATTAGGTGCCTTAATACAATTGCCTAATTAAAACAATGCAATCCCAATTTCAAGAAAGTTGGGACGCTCTGTAAAATGTAAATACATGTAAATAATAACAGAAAGCAATGATTTGTAAATCTCATAGACTCATAGAAAGTCTCCGCAATTTTACGTTGAGGAACATTTTTCTGAAATTGTTCCAATTTTTTAAATTTTTAGACACAGTTTTTCACAGATTGGTGAATCTCTGCCCATCTTTGCTTCTGAGAGACTCTGCCTCCCTAAAATGCTCTTTTCATATCCAGTCATGTAAGTTAGTTGCAAATTGCTGCTCCAGCTGTTTTTTATTAGTACCACTTACTTTTCCAGCCTTTTGTTGCCTCTGTCTGTTTGTTGCCTCTAACTTTTTTAGTTAATGTTTTTCATGAAATCATAAAATGTCTCACTTTCAAAATCTGATATGTGTTCTATGTTCTGTTATGAATAAAATATTGGTCTATGAGATTTGTAAATCATTGCATTCTGTTTTTATTTACATTTATTACATTTTACACAGCGTCCCAACTTTTTTGGAATTGTAGATAAATTAGATAAAGAGATAAAATAGATAGATTATTTAAACTAAAGCAATGAGCCTGTTTTGAAAATGTAGTGTGTAAAAAGTACAGATTTTTCTTTTAAGATTTCTTTTAAAAATATTACTTAAATACAGTCAAATAAAGTACTTGTTTCATTACTTACCACTTCTGTTACCACTTCTGTTAAATAGTTAATGATCATATAACATGCAGTATGACATCATGCATGAAGTCTTCACACTGTTTTATTCTCTTTTACAGAGAGACATAGAATGGACAGAAGAGGAGAGACTCAAAATGAAGGAGTCTGTTCTGCTGATTGGTGAGTAATCAGAAAGTCAGAAAAGAAGGCTTTTCTGCATTTATCTCAGTAATCTGTTAAAGACAAACTGTAGTAGATGTGACTGTGAATATTTTTCAGTCATGTTTGTGATGCTGTGTGTGGGTGAGTGAGAGTGTGAAACTGTGTTCTCTCATTCTTCTTTTGTGAGCTTTGTGTTCTCTTCATCTGTCACTTTCCTACTTGGACTACATTGTGAAACGTCCACATGTGACTGTGCATCGTTACCAGAGAGTCATTATCATGCAGTCTCCAGTCTTGTGCTGCACACTTCCATTGGATGCAGCTGAAAATGTTCCTTTGTTTAAGCCATTTGTGTTGCAGTCTTTTCTGAGGGTGTGTAACATGTTTAAAAGTGCAACTGTGTTATTGTTTTCATATCATATTGTTGTGTTGCTGTTTGCATCTAGTAACATATGCAGAAGTACATTATGTGCTATGTGTACTTCCCTGCTATAAAATGGGCTTTAAAGCAGGTGTTATTAAAAAGAACTAATTAGCATATTGGATACATTTGATGTTTGAATGTTTGAGGTAGCTGCTTAGCAAAGTGTATAAGAACTGAAAAGAATGCTTAAAAATGTAAAAGAGCAGACTTTGATGAAAAAGACATTGAGTCCTTGGACACTAACGGAAAATTACAAAACGTAATCATTTATTTCTCAGCACTGACAGTATTTTATACTGTAACCCTATACATCATACAATAAATACATTCATTTGTGCTTATTATTATTCTTTCAACAGAAAAGTCCCTTTCCAGAGTCAGTGTGAGTTCTGGTGATTCCCTGGCTGAAGGTTCTAGCTCAGCATCTGCACAGACCTCTTATGATGAACATGTGAGTGCATTGGTGCCAATTCAGTAGTCCAAAGGGGTCAGTTGACAAATAGTGATATAAAATTCACTCATCACAATCATGATGATTACCAAAACTTATATCACAGTTTATATCATAATATTGTATTTAAAAGCATGATATGTATAGGATGAAGAAGCATGTTGCGTTATGAACAATATACATTTTGGGGACTTCTATCGTTGAAGAAAACTTCCATGGTTTCACTTTGTACAAAGATTTTTTTGTTTCTATTTTCTGCATTTAACATACATAATGTCTTTATCAAGCAGTTTGTTACACAAAACCATGTTATAAGGAATGGTATGTTTAATATGGTAATAAATCATCACTATTTAACTGTAAGTTAAACTGGAGCTCCTCAGCATTTCTAAAAATCTTGAAAAACGTGTTCAGTTTTGTTAGTAAAATACATGCCTAACTGGATTAAGATCAGATTATATATATACTCACACCGATCAGGCATAACATTATGACCACCCCCTTGTTTCTACACTCACTGTCCATTTTATCAGCTCCACTTACTATATAGGTGCACTTTGTCTACAAGGTGGTCATAATGTTATGCCTGATCAGTGTCTATCGCTGTTGTCGAAAGAAAACCTTGTCTCCATGTTTGACGTTTTTCAGTTTTTGACATAATTTAACACCTGGTAACATCTGTTACCCATTACACTGTATGTAAATTTTACAGTGAATGGACTAAAAGACATGAACTAAACTGACTTAGAAACAATTCTTGTTCCATTAACTTACATTAAAAGTACAGTAGTTTTTTTTTCCTTTACCTGTAAAGTTATCATTTTGAAGATACAAGGTTTTCTTTTGACAACAGTGATATATATCATTCTGTCTTGTGCTGCACTTCCACAGTTTTCCATGGCTGCTGCTGAGGGGTTCAGTCCTGAAATGCACCATAACTTGTACAGGTACTGCGTGTCTTCAGTTTATGACATTATTCAAACAATAACAGCACAGTAAGGTAGAGAAAGATGAATTTGACATGATTTTGTCTCATTTTGTCCTCTTAATTTTAGGTTTTTATGTCCTCATGCTGGTCAGTTTCAGTGTAGTGAGACCCACCTTGTGTTTGAGATGGAGGGGAAAGGGGAGGTGCTGTATAAAATAGAGCCCTGGGACCCCCATTTCTTGGACGGTTTAGGTCAGATGCAGCCTGCCGGACCTCTATACAGTATTGACTGCTTTGAAGGTTCACTGAGTCATCTGCTCCTCCCACACTGTGAGATACAATATGGTAAATTTAATGAAGATTTTTAAATTATTTTTTTTGCAGACATTTTAGTTAAATACATCAACAGTTATTACACCAATGATTGTTATCAATTTGTGCTTATTTTACTCTATTGCTTTGTAAATAATGCATAACCTTCAGTTAAAAATTTGAGGGGAACATTAAATAATTTTCCAGTCTTCAGGTTTTGGGCAGATCATTTCTGTGTCATTTCACATGTAGAAACTCGAACATCATATAGATCTGCTTCCTCATGAATGCTAATTCTGTAGATCAAGGTCAACAAGAACTTTGTCATCCTAACCCTATGAACAAAACAACATTCCTCCAAGGCTTTGGTGAAACATACATAAATGACATTTGTTTACAAAACTACACAGTAAAGACGTACAATACAGACATGTTGCACAATACAGGTAATTTGGCTCAAGTCTCTGCAAAAAATACAATACAATAATACATTTGAACAAGAAAGTTTGAGGTAGACAGTAAGTCGTATAGAAGGTCAACCGTAATTGTAAAGATTTAACTGTGCAAGTTGTGAAAGACTAAAACTAAAGTAAAAGTTTGAACATCCTTGGTCAAATTACACATTTTGTTGATTTTCTAAGTAAATAAGTTAATATCACCTCGCATGAAACAAACTTAAATATAACATTCTTTCTGCAAATTTTATTGCACAATTATTATTCGTTTGCTGAATTTAAGATATTGGGAAATTAAAAAAGTGTGGTGTGCGCATAGGTTTGGGAGACCTTTCAGCTGATTCACCTTTTTTTTCATTTTAATGTCTCAGGTGTAAATGATTTTAGAGGCTAATACATTCTGTTATCTTCTAAAACTTGTGAGTGTTGTACTTACACAGCCAGGGGTCCAACTAAGTGGCTGACTGAGCATCTAAAACTAACTGATTTTTACAAAGCAAAAAAAAAACTAATACTCTGTATATTCTTTTAGGTCAATATAGAAGTAAGGAAGAAAGTGTTTGAAAATTATTTTTAGAAGCATTACATTGACTTAAAAACATTTATAATAGCTCATCAAATACAGCTCTGACTTTCTCCTGTAAAGATCTGGTCTCTGATCTAAATGCTAGATTGATGCAAATGGTTCTTTGAGTGTTCATGCTTCCACAAAAGTTTAAATGTAAATAAAAACAGAATGCAGTGATGTGCACAACATTTAAACCCTATATTTATTTAAAAATCATACAAAAAGAACATATCAAATGTTGAAACTGAAAAAAAAATTTTTTTTTAAAAAAATAAAAATATATTCTATTTTGAATTTGATGCCAGCAACATGTTTCAAAAAAGTTGGGACAGGGCAACAAAAGACTGGTAAAGTAGTATGATAATTACACATAGAAATCCCACAACTTATTAGGTTAATCATCAACAGGCCAGTAACATGATTGGGTATAAAAAGAGCATCTTAGAAAGGATGAGCCTTTTAGAAGTGAAGAGCACTCACTCTGTGAAAGACTGCATGGGCAAATAACATTTATCAATATAAATAGCAAAGAACTTGGGGATTTCAGCATCTACAGTACATAACATCATTAAAACATTCAGAGAATCCAGAGAAATCTCTGTATGCAAGGGACAAAGCCAAAGACCAGTATTGGCTGGCTGTGATCTTTGGGCCCTGAGGCGGTGCTGCATTAAAAACAGATATGATTCTTTAGTGGAAATCACTGGAAGTCTACCATGCAAGGAAGAAACCAAATATAAACAGGATGTAGAAGTGCTGTCAACTTCTCTGGGCCCAAGCTCATTTAAGATGGACTATGGCAAAGTGGAAAAGTGTCCTGTGGTTTGAGAAACCAAACTTTGAAATAATGTATAGAAATCATGGCGCATCCTCTGGTTTAAATTAATGCACATGGCATGGGTGGCTTGCACACATGTGAAGGCACCATCAATGCAGAACGATATATACAGATTTTGGAACAACAAATGCTACTATGCAGACAACGTCTTTTTCAGGGCAGACACTGATTATTTCAGTAAGACAATGCCAAACCACATTCTGCACATATTGCAACAGCATGGCTCCGTAGCAATAGTCCAAGTGCTAAACTGGCCTGCCTGCAGTCCAGACCTGTCATCCTTCTCAACCCATTGTTCAGAAGATGAAATTGTATATCACGGAAGAATGGGAAAACAGTGCATTTTTAGAACTACAGCAATTGTTTTCTTCAGTTCCCAAGTGCTTACAGAGTGTTGTTAAAAGAAGAGGTATTGCAGCACAATGGTTAACATGCCCTAGTCCCATTTTTTTTAAACATGTTGCTGGCATCAAATTCAAAATAGGCATATATTGTTTTAAAATTTATTTACCTCAACCTAATCTTTGTCCTATTTTCGGTTAAATATAGTTTAATTATTTGAACACAATTGCATTCTCTTTGTATTTACATTTGCACAGTATCCCAACATTCCTGCAGAAAGGGTTGTATACAAAACCATTAAAAAGGCACCTTTTTCTTTATTAAAGAACCTTTGAAGAACCAGTCTAAGAAAAGTCTAAGAAAAAGCTGTTTCCAAACAATTAAATGCATATCTAATATCAAACAAATTTCAATCAAGTATTCTTTCTAACCATAGTACTGAGACAGCAATGGTTGTCAAAATGCCAGTGTTGTGTTCTTACTGAGCTTCCTAATAAAACAATACATCCTCCCCAACTGGCACAAAATGCAACAGCATGGATCCTTAATAAAATATAACCTAGAACTCATATCCCTCTTGTCTTTCTTTACAATTGTCTTATATGATTTTTAAACTTTTAATGACTTGTGTGTAAAGCACTTTGAGCTCCCTCTAGAATGAATGTTCTATAAATACAGATACTGTTATTATTATTATTATTATTATTATTATTATTATTATTATTGTTATTATTATTATTATTATTATTATTATAAAATACATTTAAACACATTCTGTATTTCCACTGTTCAAAGCAATTTAGAAATGGAAGTTAAGGAGAAATCAAAAAAAGATCTCAAAAACTAAGAAGATTCTCTTATAGAACTGCTGTAAACTGGTCAAGTATACAAAGCAAAACCCCCACATCACTGCCAATGACATACAGGAAGAGGTGTCTGCCACATGAATAATGATGCACTGGTCCAGTGTGCAATATTGTTAGATAAACATCATCCACATTGAATGGTCATCAGAAATGTGTTAGGGTATATTTGAAGAAAAAGGAGAAGCATTAAAAAAATACCCTAACAACTGCTAAATATGATATGAATATGATGTGAATATGATATGATGTTAATCTATTATGCATTGTGATTGTGTAGCACAGAGTGGCCCGGGAAATGTTGTGGGAATAAAGGAAAGAACAATTCTACTAAATATCAACACATTCTTGAAGTTCATGTCCCACAGTCAGTGAAGAAACTGAAGAAGAAAAGAGATTAGATGTTACAAAAAGATAATGATCCAAAACATACATCAAAATCAAACTTCAACTTCTTTAATAACCAAATATTAAGGGTTTGAAATTGCATTTACTGACTCCAAGCTTGAATACTGTTGACACTGTGTGGTTAGATCATGCAAGATGACTTTATTTCAGTAAACAAATTATAATTGTCCATTAGAATTTACTGAAATATGTCATATTTAAGATTGTTCCATCAGAGATGACGTTAACTTCTTTTCACTTAGGAAATCAGTGAAATGTAGACCAGACCATCATTTTTATTTTTACAGGGTACATTTCTCCAAGCACAAATTCCAGTGAGGTTCTAGGTGAACTCTGTGACGCACCAGGACACTCAAACCTGCCCACCATGACAGCTTTTTTAATGTTGTTAAAGACTTCAGTTACACAGACCACAAATTATCACTTAATTTTATCTGAATGTTTTTTATGAACACTTTGCTGTTTGTGAATATAAATATCAGCACGTCAGACATTTTTACTGACTTTGAATAGACTGTAATTTTTTTTTTCAGGTTGTGGTGGCACATTTCACTGGTGATAATACAGAAATCATACAGCCACTGAATGTGACAAACACACATGTTATTATTAACATCCAAGGCCTTTCCCTCTTTGGACTTCTAAAGAAAATGATTTTACATCCCAGTCCCATAAACGCCCAAGTGCTGCTCTTCTATAAAGAAATAATGGACAAGCAAAGGAGGAAACAACTAAACATTCACTTACTGCCAGGGAATGTTCCAGATAAAGAGGTAAAGTGTTAATGTCACTTTATTCTAACATTGTCCTCATGAAGACCACAGCATTACCCTGCAGCCCTCTTTAAGACTAGGGGCAGATTTAGTAAAGCAGTCAGTAATTACCAGTTTGGCTTACAACATTTTTGAATGGAAGCCTCTTTACGCCAGGACCTTTGTATGAACATATTTTGAAATGTTATTGTTTGAAAATATTAAATTGTTTTCTTGTTAGTTTGACCTAGTAAGTCAAAATAATGACTTATCTTCTTTATTTATTTTCAAAATGTTGATATTTTACTTATCTCAGAAAATAAGTTATTGCTTTTCAAGAAAATGTAATAATTTTTAGTGGACCAGTTGAAATATCACAAAAACACGTTATTATTCCCACATGATAATTAAAGACTTTGAGAGCTCACACATAATCCAAAATTTCATGTACTGCCGCCGGACTTTTCCTCCTGTGGCAGCCATTATAAGTCAAGCTATTCACAGATATTAAATAGTGTCAGTAGTTATACTTGCCTTGGTAAATTGGAGTAGGTGGTTTATTATAATATCTTTTTATGCTTTGTGAGGGAACCTCCCATAAACAGATATGCAGAAGTGCAAAATAGCAATGACCACCCCTTTGTTCTCCTTATCTATGCTAAAGAGCTGTTGTGCACATGTATAGTAAATCACAAGAGTCACTTTGTAACACAAAAATAAGGATTGTGACAGCATTAGTAGATCTGCCCCCTAATGTACAAATATAGTCACACACCTTTACCTTTCTTTCCTGTGACCAAAGGTGAAGGATAAGCATGAAGATGTCATGTATTTTAAGACCAGCTCCACATGCAAACTCATCCCTGGAAGAAGGTACAGGCCACTCTGTGACCCCTATGTTTCTGAACCAAAGGTAAAGTACAGCCTGTGTGATCACCCTGAAAGGAGAAAGCTCCATAATGTTTACATGTTTACAGACATTTTATCTTGCTACCATTTTGTTTACCCAGGTTGCCATATTTGAGCGTGACTATGGCCCAAACTATCACCCCACGTTTGTGGTGTTCCTGCAGGCTGAGGAGGCTACACTGAGTCTCTTAGATAAAGATGACATGGAGGTGTGGGAACCTCATCAGATCCTTCTAGCAACTGAAAAACCTGGTGAGCTGTAGCAGAGCACCCATGTTTTTTGTTTGTTCTTCCTGGTATGCTGGCTGGTGGGGGTAGAGGAGACAGTCACTTTTTAGGTAAAGCTTTGGGGCTGAGGCTATCATGAGAGAAAAAAATTCTTGTGTTCCCAAAACAGGTTAAAGTTGTCTATGTAGCTCAGCCCATTTAAGCTACATGTTCAGTCCAGGTGTTTAGTGACAGCAGACGTGAAAACATGTAATCCCCACCACTGATGAATGCTTCAGTGTACTGATAGAGTCCATGAGTTCTTATGAGTGAAGGACTGTGGGAGACTGAAGGTCTGAAACATCAGCTGTGTCCTTCGATTTCTCATAAATGTGCTGGATTGTTGGCTTAGTGCCAGTTATGCGGTTGGCTCCATTTTTTCTTTAATGCAAAACTGGAATGGGAGAGGACTTCAGGCAATATTTTAATAATTAACTTTTGTCTGTTGAGAGAGTGCCAAGTTGGCGCAATGGTTAGGAACTGGGTTCAAATCCTGGCTGGGTGACCAAGGTCCTTTCTGTATGTGTATGTTCTCCCTGTGTCTGTGTGGTTTCCTCCCCTAGTCCAAAGACAGGCAATCAGGCCATTTAGAAATGCTAAAATGTATGTGCCTCTTTGCCAAACACACACGATAGACTGGTGCCCTGTCCAGGGTATATCCTTCCTTCAACCCAGCAACCCAGGAGGATAAAGCAGTTTAGATGATGGATTAATGAATGAATGAATGAATGAATGTTTTATTTGTTTAATTCTTAGGTTCAAAGTGAAATGTATTGCAAGTGCTCTGCTAAACATGGGTAATGACGAAGCTGTGTACAGTGATCTCCCTCCAGCTCAATCGGCCCTACAACCAATAAATATCACCAAAAGTGGAACTACTGAACTTAATCAAAGTTAGTAATATCCCTGCCATAGAACTCATGACAGGCCAATAGAATGACTTTTTACTTCTACTTTTTCCTCTTTTTTTGTCTTTTCCTTGCAAATACAACATAGCCAGATAAAACAGCATTTGGAGGTGTTCATGTACAGTTCTTAGAAAACATTATCCTGAAGTCATAGTATTTCATGTGTTCACTAAGACTTGGTTTCTGTCTCCTTTCCTCAGGTTACAGTACAGAGACAAGCCCACTTAGAATGGAAGCAGGTATGTTGTGCTCACTTAATGCACTACTGTGAATTTGTTCCTTCTCAAACAGAACCAAGAACATCTTCACTCCACAGTTATCCTGAATCAGGCTTATGAATAAAGACTGCTCATGGGGGAGTCGCTTGTTTTACTGACAGGTTTTCTTTCTGCTAACTTAACCCTTTAATGTCCTCACCAAGAAAAAAGTGATGGATGTTTTTTTTGGATTCTTTATTTGTTTGGGGCAATAATAAAAACAATTGGCCTTTTTTTTGTTTGTTTGTTTGTTTTTTTGACCCCACAATTCCAAAAATATTCACGTTTACCAAACGGTCGAGATGGCACTTTGTGGCACATATAGTGACTCAAAATGTGCTCTACCAAATGGTTGAGCAGAACATTAAACGGTTAAAACATTCAAAGCTGCACTTGAAGTTGTTTTGGTCATGGACGCCTGCTTTGAGCTCCTCAGTGTATTGTTCAGTTGAAAGTCATGTCGTCATGTAATTCTAATGCTTAAAATTTTGGGTATAACCATAAAACCATAAAATGCTAAAATGATCATTTTGATTTTGCTTTGATCTTTATTTCAGGAGCTGCATTTGTGGATGAACACAGAGCACAGCTCATTCAGAGAGTTTCCTCAGTGATGGAGATGGTGGACTGTTTACACAGTAAAAACATGATCACTGCTGAAATGTATAGCAACATACAAAATGCAACACCATCTCAGAAACAAATGAGGATCTTGTACAGAGTTCTTGACTCAGGAGGAAAATCTGTGAAAGCAGAATTCTATAAAGTTCTTAAAGTGAAGCAGCCTTTCTTAGTGGACGAACTGGAGGTCCTGTAGGGCTTCATGAACCTCAAGTTAGAGGAAAGTTCATAACTCTCCCTCTGCTCTCCCTCATGTGGACATGTGGAATATGGTCTGATTTGATTCAGGTGAAGTTGTGAAGTATGACACCTCACACTTATATTTTGTCACAATAATTTGAATATTTTAGTGTAACAGAGAACCAAGCCAGAGGAGGTCTACATATCTATATCTATATATTCTATACTTTGCATTTTTCAGGTAGACATAAGAAGGTAATTACAAAGAATTTAGTTCATATAATACATGCTGTAATGTCATGGCACTCTAGAGACACACAGTGCTGTAAGATACACTCACTGGTCACTTTAGGTCCATATAACAGGATAGCCTTCTTCATCCATATTGAAACACTCACTTAAAGGAATAGTTCAAATTTTTTATATTTGAATATATACATTTTATATATTTTCCTTTTAGATTTCAGTGTAAAAAATGTAACCTTTTTTATTTCATATTTCAGTAAAAAAAATTACAATATTTTTATACAGTGTTTGTACTGAATGTTTGTACCGTATTTAGTCTAAAAATACCATGGAGAGATTAAACAGGAGTCCTTAAACTGGAATGTTTAGGTATTTTACAGCTTTTAACACTTTGAGATATTTAGATGTCTTTTCAGTTCTGGTCAGATGAAAAGGAAAACCAGCACTACCAGTTTAAGGGCTCCATCCTTTATAGAGTGGATGTCCGGTAAATTCTAAGTTTAAGGTAAACAGCATAGTTCAAATTTCCAAAGAACAACAATCCTTTATAAAAAGTTATGAAAAATCGTTCACAGATGAACAGAACTGCAGTGACTGTGTGTTTGGTATAGTGTAGTGGGTAACACCTCTGCCTTCTGTGCTGTAGACTGGGGTTTAATCCCTGCCTGGGTAAACATCCTACACTATACCAATAAGAGTCCTTGTGCAAGACCCCTAACACTACCTTCACCTACCTGTGTGAAAATGATCAAATTGTAAGTCGCTCTGCCAAATGCTGTAAATGTAAATGAGGCAGCATGTTAGAAATGGCGGCTCCGTGAGCAGCTCCAGTCGCTGCTGCATTGCATGTAAAGCAGGGGTCTCCAAACTGCGGCCCTTAGTCCATTTTTAATTGGCTCACAGCAAATTCTGAAAATATAATGGAATATGGCCCACACATGAAATTTGTGCTTAACTGTATTGTACTTCTTAGTTTTAACACTAGGTGGAGCTACTGTTTTGAACGAGGCATGGATCTCCATCCTCATCATGATGTGTTGATTCATATTTCAGTCAATAAACTCATAAAACCTAACTCGGCCTGTAGAGAGCAACAGCAGGTCATACTGTGTGTGCTGATCTTTTTCATTATTCCAGTTACGCTGGATCCTTATATCTGCAAACTGGTTGGGATGTAGCAGAAAACTATTCAGAATACAGAAATTAAGTATCTGTATTCAGTCCATGTTACTGTTTGAAAAGATAGTATTCAGAATGCTGTTTCTCTTTTTATATTTTAGGGGTGTGCGTGCCTATGTCATACATGAATTCAGCATTTTAAATGGTAAATAGGCGGGTGGGGGTGCTCAACAGAGCACAGAGTGCACTAGGAAAAGTTCTCCTATCTGTAGCACAGATCATATGTCTGTTTCTAGTCATTCAAGATAAACATTGTGCGTCGTTCATGAAGCTGAGGTTTACCTTTATGCATATTTCCGTGACACCTCAAATTGTGCAATTAAAACATTAAGATTTAATTAGAAAAATAAGAGAACTGTGCCCTCCTGCTTCATTCAGAATTGGTAGCGAACATTTTTCAGTACAATGTGGACCAAAATCTGCCCACTTTTAAGGATGGAGATGACGTTGTGAGATGGTGGGCTTCTGTCTTTGAAACTGGACAATACTGTAAGGTGGGGAGGTGCCCATAAAGATTGTGCTCATGCTTTGTTTCTAGGTAATAAAACTTTTTTGCTTGACTGAACCACATGGTTTTTTTTTGTTGTTTTTTCCTTTTCTGTAGTTTAATCTAATGTGCACCAGGATTGTTCATTTTCATTTTAAAATCACTAAAATTCTGACTGGTGAGGCCTTTAAACTCGACTACAGGAGATTCTGTTTTCTCAACTACCCTTTTCACTTCTCCAGAGTTTTCATGACTAATAGATCTGCTTCCTTGGTGGATCCCCATCTTATACAACTGAAGTTTAAAATATTAATTTTAGTAAAATCCTGTTTCAGTGTCTCTTTTTTCTCACTTCTAGGCCCCTCCCACCCACCACTTTGCAGCTACAGGAGCTTCTCGCCAGGAGTGAACAAAGTACAAAACCACTGAACTTGAGTAAAAATAGAAATTCTCTTTATAAAATATGATTTGAGTTAAATTGAAGTCAGTGTTAATCAGATATCATACTGCATTGAAATTATTGTTTGATATTTTATTTACATATTTATTTGGAAAAGTGGAAGGTAATGGTAAAACAAGAATTTAGTGTTTTATGTATAATCCATTGTGTTTAATATGTTCATGGATATCAACTAACGGTTGCAGTTATATTATTTTGATGAATACTTCAAGATGATGTCAACAGTCAGAAAACACTTCAAAAACACAATCCAAACCAAAATTCCAGAGCTACAGGTCATAACCAGGAAGAAAACACAAAATACACCACTACAGAAATGTAAGGAAGAACCAAAGCAAGACCTCTCACTGAACTCATGTCTGAACAGAATCTAAATACTCCACTAAACAGCCACTGATTAGGAGCAGGTGTGACATGAAACTCAATACTCAGGACAGTTAGACCTCCGTTGGTGAGGAGGAGAATGGCCAGCAGATGTGACACTGGGGAGGGCTGGGTGGCTGCAAACATCAAAGTTAATGGTTCATGTCTGTAGCTAAGTCTCCTGAACAGAAAGTATTCATCACAATTAACATATTTTCTATAATATTTTTTACTTTTGATAGCTATATCATTTAAAAGCAGGTACTGAAGCACAAATGTTGACTGAAAACCTCTGTACAAGTAATATTCAACCAAGAGTGTTTCAGCTTTTACTCAAGCTTGTAAAACTTGTCTTACATAATAATTAAGAGGCTGTGTACTTTGTCCACACTGCTATTCACTGACCATTTAAGACCAGAAGAGGTCAGGAACAAAAAGGTATCTGTATTTTTTGGTATGTAAGCAACGTCTTTACTGGATTTGAGAGGCTTGAATGCTTATACAAATTTAATTAGTCAACAGAAATATGTCTGTATCTGTTTCAGTTGTTGAAGTTAGACTTTTAAACCTTTACCAAATGTTCTGTCTTCCTAAAGATATCCATCTGGTTCTTAACAGATCAGGACTTACAGCTTGACCCAGGTGCTTTCACTTATAGTATTGTTTATAGTATTGCTCTTCATATTATATATACATATTTCATTATATGTTTTACTACATCTTTTAGCATTCAATGTTGCCAATATTATGTATTTTATGATGTATTTAGAACTATGGCTCATATGCTTTGCTTTTTTCTTTACTTTGCAAAACTGTTGCATGAAAACAAGAGCTTTCAAGATTGTGTGCTTTTGTGAAAATGTAGTACATTATGATTCACATTAACATGCTCCTTCTTGTATTCTATTGCATATGCCTTTTCTTTTTCTTATTATTGATTTGCATGTTTATTTTTCATACTCTCTTTTGGACTATTGTCATCTTTATGTTTTGTCTGAAATGTTTGTTACTATTTTTGCTTTCTTTTTCTTTCAGTAGCAAGTGTTTTGTGCAAGCTAAAAAATGTTTTCACAGTGTTTCTGTATAATGATCATCTGTTTTCATTCCATAACAGTTAATAGTCCTTTCTCTTTCTGTTTAACCATCATCACTTTATTATTACTGAGATATTTTACTGAGATATTTTGAAAGACAAATAAAGAGAAAACTGTCACAGTGATGAAAAATAAAACTGAACTTCTTTACTGAATATGTAGCAGAAACCACATGACATTGTTATTATACTGTTATTAATATTGTTTGTTTTTGTTTTAATATTGTCATATAAATCATTAGATATCATGTCAGTTTGGAAACTGTAGACATATTTTATTAACCTATTTTTTCGTTGGTCACTCTCACAGTTATCTGATCAAATCTGCCCCCCTGTCTGTTTCTGATGAACAATATTTTGGGAGGATTTGGAAAAGTTGCTGTGCTGGAAATTCTCGAACCAATCTGGCAACCCAGACTGGAATGACGATAAAAGTAAAAGTAGTCGCTGCTTCTTCCGCTCTGGACGCTGAAGTGGAGAGTCGTGTGTGAGATTAGTAGAGAGTTTAAACTCGGTCTTATTATTATGGATCTGCTGTTGTAGACAAAAACCTGATATGAACTGATTTAAAATGTGGACATATTTGACCACCAGCAGCGATATGACTGTATGAAGAACAGCGAAGGTAAGAGCAGTTAGCATCATGCTAATCAGGATAAAGACCAATGTGAACATCAAACCTGAGTGGAAAATAAGTACAGAAATCTCTCTCTCTCTCTCTCTCTCTCTCTCTCTCTCTCTCTCTCGTGCGCATGTGCGGGCGTCTGAGGTGGAGCGGAGTGTGTGTGAGAGCGGCTGGGTTCTTTCTGGCTTTATTCTTTCCCTTTAATTTGTTGATTTCCCCTTTTTCCCCTTAGATGTAGGTCAGGGCTTACAGAGCGGGGGGGGCGTTAGGTGAGGGATTGTGGGGGGGTAATGGATCTCGCCTGTAGTGCTCTGTGGAGGAGTGCAGTTTAGCTCTGGGGGGTTATAAAGCCATCAAGTCTGCCTCCCGCATGAACAGCGCTGTTCTGTTTTAGATGAGGTAGTGAAGGTGAACGCGCTGGTGGAGCGGGGCAGTGTGGTAAAAGACACCCACAATGCTGTGTTTCCCTCGTTAATCCGGCGAAAAAAGTTACCCCGAGCATCTTCTCCCCGTTTATTAAAGACGAAGTCCTGCTGCGCGAGCTCTCTCGGCTCGGCCAGATTGTTTCGGTGATTCATAAAATCCCCCTGGGCCGTAAATCTCCAATCAGATCTGCTTCAATATAGAGTCTCATTCAGAAGAGGGTTTTATGGTTCTGAAAAATGACGTGGATGAGCTGAACTTGGCACTGAGATTTAAGATCTATGACTTTGAAAATGTTTTTTTTTTTTGCCACGACCGAATGAAGTGTTTCGGTTGGGGCTTGGAAGGGCACCTAGTGCGGGACTGCCCGGGTACGGCCGCGGGATTCGGCCTGAGCCCAGCCGCGCAGAAGTGGCTTCGGCCGTCGGGACTCAGGTGGGAGCCTCGGCAGAGGAGGCGGGAGAAGCAGCAACAGATCATGGGCAGAGTAAGGTGAGCGAGACGGGAACGAGGGGCAGAGTGTAAGGGTGGGTATCACTGAGGAACAGGGCAGTGTAGACGAGGAACAACACACAGAAACGGAACAGGTGGGGCAGTGCGAGGGTCCAAAGGGGGCAGAATCTGTGTTTAAAAGGCCGGCCAACAGGCCGGCGCGCTAGATAGACAAATAAAAGTGCAGTGTCTTTATCTGGGTCTCGGAGTGAGGGAGTGAGGGGGGCTACGGGGAGTGAATCGGAGCGCGACTCCTCTGACTCTTCGCTTTTTGAGAAGCGCGTGTCCGCAGCGGGGTTTACAGCCCGGAGCAGGAGCGCCGATTTCTGAATGAAACGAAAGGTAAGAGAAACGTCAATGTTGAAAGTATTTTCCAAATTTAGATCTGTTCATACAATCGGCGAGGGCGTTGATGAAAAGTGAGGAGGAGGGGGAGCAGAGGAGCCTGAGATACATCGTCTGAAAATCTAGTGCTGAAAGTCTGAACCCAACTCGTGGATGTGGATGAGGCTGCGAAGGACTGAAGTGCTCTTTTTCTCAGCTTTAATGTTGAGCTGGCTTCTGTTTCTACTCTTCTTTGGGATGTGTGATATTAAAATTTCTGCTCAATCTGAATGGAGCGAGAGACGCGAGAAAAAGAGCAGTTCTGTACGAGTTGTTGAAAGTTGCCATGGTTCAGGAGACACACAGTGACCGCGTGAACGAGGTGGACTGGCAGGGAGTGGGAGGGCAGGGTCGTTTTAAGCCATGGGAGCCCCAGCAGTGCAGATGTGGCTGTGCTCTTTTCTAAGGCCTTCTTGCCTCAGTCTTGTGATTATAAGGAAGTGGTGGAGGGACGGCTTCTGAAAGATTCTGCGAAGTTTGTGTGTTTATGCACCAGTAACACCCAGAGAGAGCTCTGCATTTTTAGAAAAGCTCTCACAGACTTTAGTTGAGTGTGACACCGATCAATACTTGGTGTTGGGGGGTGATTTTAATTGCACAGGTAGTGTTTTAGATAGGAATCGTATAGAGTCAGATCCGGCTTCAAGGCGTATTTTGAATAGTATAATTGAGATTCATGATTCGGCTGATGTGTGGCGCACTAAGCATATCTCTGCTCGACAATACACATGGGCACATGTACGTGACGGATTTGTCTCTTTGACTAGGCTGGATAGGATTTATTGTTTTAAATATCATCTGCAGATTTTTAAGCACAGCACAATTACACCTGTTGGTTTTACTGATCATAGTATGGTGACCGGGAGGATCTATCAGTTCAGGGAAATCCAGGAGTGCATACTGCCACATGACACATACTTCTGGGACACATGGAGGCTGAGAAAGGATAAATATGTAGCAGGAATGGTGGGATGTTGGCAAAATTCAAATACAGCAGTTTTGTAAACAGTACACTCTTGGTGTCACTTCCAGTATCATCAAGGCTGCTACAGAGCTTGAAAATGACATTATGTTTCTTCAGAATCTAGTAGATTCTGGGGGGACTGTTGCCATATCCAGACACTTCGTAACAGAAAAACAGCTTTAGCAGACCTGCTAGGGGTGAGAGCACAGGGGGCATTGATAAGATCTCATTTTCGAAACATTTCGGAGATGGATGCCCCATCAAAGGTTTTCTTCAGTTTGGAGAAGAAAATGGACAGAGCAGGTTCATTCATAGCCATCGCTCAGCTGACGGCCAAGAACTCAAAGACCCAGCGGAGGTCAGGGGGAGGGCAGTGGAGTTTTTTTTCAAAGCTTTACTCCAGTGAGTATAGGGAGGACCAGTCAGTATCACAACAGTTTCATGAGGGGTTGCCACAGGTGGCACCTGAGCAAAATGAAGAGTTGGTGTGAGTGATTACCATGAAGGAGCTGCACGTAGCTTAATGACAGCTTTGTTGGAGGACAACTGACGTAAAGCTGTAGGACAGCAGTCTTCACCCTACTGGCCAAGAAAGGTGACATCAGTGAGGTCAAAAACTGGAGGCCTGTGAGCTTGCTGTGAACTGACTACAAGATCCTCTCTAAAGTTTTGGCTAATCGCTTAAAGAAGGTGATGGGGAAGGTTACACACACGGATCAGGCCTACTGTGTTCCTGGCAGGTACACTGGCAATTTTTGATAATATATCTCTTATTAGAGATATCTTAGAAGTGTCTGGGTTAGGGCACCAGTTTGGGCTCATTTCTTTGGACCAAATAAAGGCCTTTGATAGGGTTGAGCATCAGTACTTGTGGGATACCTTTAGGGCATTTGGGTTTTCCCCCAGCTTTGTTTCAATGGTGAGGGTGCTCTACAGTGACATCGAGAGTGTGCTGAAGGTCAACGGTGGTTTGTGCGCTCCTTTAAAAGTCGGGAGGGGAATCAGACAGGGTTGCTCATTGTCAGGAATGCTATATGCTATAGCTATTGAGCCCATGCTCCACCGTCTCTTAGCGGCGGCCTATGCTGATGATGTGGTTGTAGGGATTACTGGAGATAGCGATGTTAATGTTTTAAGTGCCATTATACATGATTTTGGAATTGTTTCTTCCATAAAAGTTAACTGAGGAAAAAGTATGGGTTTGTTGGTGGGAAACTGGCAAGGAGGAGAGCCAACATTGCCAGGGGGGCTGGTTTGGTCTAAGGGGGGTTTGGTTTGGCTGTCCTTAAGCTTCACAAGTCTTTAACTGGGATTCAGACTCTCATTGTTGATTTTATGTGGGATAAACTTCATTGGGTTAGACAAAGTGTTTTATGCTTGTCTAGAGATGAAGGGGGGGCAGGGCCTTATACACCTCGACAGTCGGAAAGCAACTTTTAGATTATAGTTCCTACAAAAGTTTTTATATGGTTCTGTGGATGCTCTTTGGGGATCTATGGCAGGTTTTGTTTTACGCAAGGCTGAAGGCTTAGGACTGGAGGGCAGTGTTTTTCTACTACAAACTGATGAACTGTCTCTTTTCGGACTTCCCTCCTTTTATGTCAGTGTCTTTAAAGCATGGCAGTTGTATAAGTTGGAGAAGCAGACCTCTTATGACCCCCTTTACTAGCTTCTATGGGAGCCAGTTATCCATGGAGCAAGACTGTCACTCATGGAAGGAGGGGCCTGAAGGCTGTCTGAGAGGATTAGGAAGGTGGGTCTGGTTACGAAACCTGCATGGAGGGCGCTCTACAAACCACCGTTGACCAAGTCAGCTGGGGACATGCAATGGAGAGTTTTACATGGCATAGTTGCTGTGAGTGCTTTTGTCTCTATTTTAAACCCTGCAGTCTCCTCAGCGTGTCTGTTCTGTTCACTGAGGAAAACAGTGTGCCATTGTTTTACACAGTGTGTAAGGTTGAATGGGTTGTTTAAGATTTTAAGTTCACTTTTTATTGTTTTTGGTGAATGTTTTAATCTCAATGCTTTTTTTTTCGTTTTCCATATTGTCAAAAATGGATGAATAAGTGCCAGTTGATTAGTTTTATTTTAGGTCAGGCTAAAGTAGCGATTTATTTTAGTGGAAAGAAGAAGCTGGACTCTGGTCTGAACTGTGATGTCTGCGAGGTCTTTAAAAGCCTGGTATGGTCAAGAATTAAGATTGATTTTGGTTTCTATAAGATAATGTAGGGCTATGAGGGCTTTGAGCTGGTGTGGAATTATGATGAGTTTCTCTGCACCATATATGACGGTGTTTTGACTTTTTCTAATGTCTTAATATAAGACATTTATTTATTTTTGATTGTTGATGTCTTTCTGTGTGATTAATTGATGGTCAATAACGGATGGTAAACTCTCTCTCTCTCTCTCTCTCTCTCTCTCTCTCTCTCTCTCTCTTTCTGTAGGATTGTATTAGTGTGAATCTGTAGGAGGAGATAAAGAGATAAAAATGGCGGCTGCGAGAAACAGTAAGTTAAACTTCCAGAACCTACGAAAGGTTTTACTGTGAACATCATTAAATAATATTCAATCAGAGAGTTTATTTTTATTGTGGAGACACACGAGACACAACTGTTAATGTGTGTGTGTGTGTGTGTTTGTGTGTGTGTGTGTGTGTGTGTGTGTGTGTGTGTGTTTGTGTGTGTGTGTGTGTGTGTGTGTGTGTTTCTACACAGATGAGTTTAAACTCTTTGGTCCTCGAGAAAGAGAGCGTCAGTTTGGCTCTGTGGTCACTCTCTCCTGTCACCTGTCACCTGAAATCAGTGCTGTTGCCATGGAGATCAGGTGGTTTAAAGGGACGAACTGTGTTTGTGTCTATAAGAACCGGCAGGTGACAGAGGGGAGGGGCTACAAGGGCAGAGTGAGTCTGTTCATTCAGGAGCTGCAGAGAGGAACCATCTCCTTACAGATCAGAGACTGTAGATTGACAGATAGTGGAGATTATCTGTGTCAGATCATCAATGGAGACACAACAGAGGAGTGTACTGTAAATGTGTGGGGCAGTAAGTATTGCTGAAGTTCACTCTACATAAAGTCATCATCATCATCAGCGTCTCATCTCAGAATGAAAGATGAAGAGACAGAAATGAAAAACACAGATGTTCAGAATGGTGTTGTGTTCAGATAAAGGAGGTAAAACATACAGAGGATAAATGATGTTAATGTGGAGTGAAGGACAGATGGAGCATTTCAGTAGAAAAAACAGAATTTGAACTTCTGTAACAACAAAATAAACATTTTAGATGAAAAAATAAAACAGAAATTATATTATTAAAATATTATATTTAATGTGTGACGTCACTACAGGCTGCTGACTGACTCACAAAAATCCTGTTCTTAACTAATTAAAGCTGCAGATCTACAAACTACAGACACTAAAAGGGGCGTGTTCAGAGTTGAGCTGCGCGTAGTGAGGAGATAAAACCGAAACTGCGCATCTTTATTCACACTTCAGTCGTATCTGTGGACTCGCGTGCTGTTCAGACTCAGAGTTCACCAATAAAGAGGCGAGTCTCAGTTCTCCGATTCAGTCCCTGAACTTCAGCTCATTTCTCTTGAGGGATGTTTACTCCCGTCAGGAGCTGTATTAGGTCAAGCGCCCCCGTCTGACTGATTTGACGAAACTACAATATTTCAAACTGAAATTCAAGTCTGAGTGTAAAATACAAACAAACAAATCAAGGCCAATTTTAAATATCATGTAAATGAATGCAATATTTATCAAAACAGTAAAATAAAATATACATAGACAATTCAGGCATCTGATCAGGATGCCCCCTGAACGCCTCCCGGTGGGGGTTTACCAGCCACAGCCTACTGGGACGAGACCCCGGGGTCATCCTAGGACCCACTGGAGGGATTATATCTCCATGTTGGCCTGGGAGGGACTTGGGGTCCCCTGGAATGAGCTGGAGGAAGTTGCAGGGGACAGGGTTGTCTGGGATTCTCTGCTTTCCCAACTAAATGATTTGCATTTTGTTTTTATTTACATTTTGCACAGCATCACAACTTTTTTGGAAATGGGGTTGTATTTATTTTGCTGAGCTGCAGGTAAAACTCTAATACAGAAGCTCTGTGTGAGGAACTGATGGGTCTGTTAGTCGTTCATTTAGAGAGAGTTTATGTGGTTCTTTAGTGAAGAATCCTTCATGATCTGTTCCTGACTGACACTATATTAGTTAATAATAGTTATTATATCAGTTCATCTTTTAGTTCATATATCAGTTAATCTTAGTTATTATATTAGTTAATCTGTCTGTTCATTCTGTAAATGTACTTTATCTGATTTTAACTGCTGCTGGAATAAAAAAAGAAAAAAATTGTACTGAAAGCACTGAGTGACAATTCCGTAGTGAAGGATGAAGAACTACATTACAGATGAGAAAAGGAGATTCTGATAAGGAGATAAAGAGTTAAAAAGACTGAAATATTATAATTGTAAAAGTGTTTCTCATGGAGGTTTGACTAACTTTGTGTTTCCTTCTGTTTTTATTCCACAGCACGGTTGGTAAGTAAATAACTGTGTTTTCTTCTTTCTCTGCTGGTAGTGACTGATTTTATACTCTTATCACATGAACTACATTCAATACAGACATCAAGCAGCTACATAATATTGAGTTTCAGGTAAATTTCACATGATGAACAAAGTCTCTGATCTCAGAATGAAAGCTTTTGACTTCATCTCCCTCCTTCCTTCCCACAATGCTCCTGTGCATAATCCCATTGCACTGCAGAAATGTAGAGACAGTGAAGTTCACTGATGAGAAAAAGACACAACAAATAAAAGCAGTCTGGCTCTGTTGGGAGTGATGTCACTGTTCTTATGTGATGATGGAATATTTTTGAGTCGTTCCATCATCATTATCATTAACAAGCTTCTCCTAGGCCAACTTGGAGATATAGAGGACCAAACCACCTCAACTGGCTCCTCTCAAAGCCGAGGAGTAGCAGCTCTACTCCGAACTCCTCCCGGATGACCAAGCTCCCTATCAAGCACCCTATTAAGTAGAGTGTAGCCCACCAATACACCTACGTTTGTAGTACATAGGTGTATTGTAGCCTACGAATACAAGCTCATTTCCACTGCTTGTATTCGTAATCTCATTCTTTCGGTCATTACCCACAGCTCATGACCATAGGTGAAGGTTGGGATGTAGACTGACTGGTAAACTGAGAGCTTTCCCTTATGGCTCAGCTCCCTCTTCACCGCTGCCGCCTGTCCCAGGCTGCGGCCGATCTCACAATCCCACTTCATCTAATTAATGTTCTGGAGGTCAAATTTGTTCACTAATCAGTTTCTCCTCTCCAGAGTTTCTTCATCCAGCAGGTGAGTTCACTGATTAATAAATAGAATTAACTTAAATTAACTTAAAGAATTAACTTTAACTCAAGTTGTATTAGTATGTAATAAGAAACTAATAAAGCAGTTAATGTTATATATTATGTATTATATAATGTAAATATTATGTTGTTTCTGATCACTGTATTAACTCCCTTATCATCACCCTAACAACTGTTGATTTGTTGTCAGATGTTCAGTTTAACTCCTGTTATAAAATCCTGCTCTAACTCTGCTTTAATCTCTTCTTCACCTGAGTTTAAATATTTCAATCAGCAGAGTCTCTACTGTTAGTAATATCAGCTCTCAGTGATTCATACTGACACCAACCATCATCACATCTTCACTCTGTTTTATTCTCTTCTACAGAGTGACAGAGAATGGACAGAAGAGGAGAGAAAGAAAATGAAGGACTCTTTTCAGCTTATGGGTGAGTTTTAAAGGAGATTTTTTAAAATAAAACCCACTCATAGTTAAACCTGTGAAATTTGAATGGAGTAACTTTCTCAAAACCATTTCTTTTATTTATTAAATTTATGATAATAATGAAAAATATTAGTTTTTAATACAATTTCATGAAAAGTTCTGTGGTTCTTCACTCTGATCAGCAGTATTCACTGAGTTTCAGTCTTGAATCAGTGATCTTAGCTCATCTCTGTGTGACTCTGTGTAGCTGCTGTGAGAGTGCAGATGGTGTCAGATGATGAGGGAGGTGTCTGATACGTCTGAAGGAGGAAGCTGTATTTAGTAATCTTCGCATTAAATGCAGTGATTTGATGAACAGTGGAACAGAGAGTAGAATAACTTTAACTAAAACACATTCTACTGCTGTCAGCTTTGCTCAGATCATTAAAGCCTCAGTTAGAAATCAGTGCAGCTGTGCAGGCTGGTGTGAGTTTCTGCAGTAACAGGATTTCTGTTGGAGATCCTGTTGCTCCTGTTCTAAATTCTTTGCTTTTATCTGATCATCTTCTTTAGTGAACTGGTCTTGTGTAACAGCAAGAGATTGTGCCACTACAGTTAATACAAGTGTTGTAAACTAACTTTACTTCCAGTTTAGTTATATACTTTAAAAACCCTGTATGAAGTGCTAAGTTACTTAAAATATATAGGTAAACAGCAAGATAAGAAATATTAGCACTTAGACAGAAATAGGACACAGATGCAAAAAGAAGAAGTATGAGTATTGACAATACAGAAGCAGCTTCACAAGAATCAATCAGCTTCAAAAAGAAGACCTTTATGAATGAACATAAACTCAATTATAACTCTGTTTCACCAAGTTATCTACAATTAACAGACACAATTAACAGATTACACATTTGATTATGGTGAAAATCCAGATATACACCGATCAGGCATAACATTATGACCACCTCCTTGTTTCTACGCTCACTGTCCATTTTATCAGCTCCACTTACTATATAGGTGCACTTTGTAGTTCTACAGTTACAGACTGTGGTCCATCTGTTTCTCTGCATACTTTGTTAGCCCCCTTTTACTCTGTTCTTCAGTGGTCAGGACCCCCATGGACCCTCACAGAGCAGGTACTATTTGGGTGGTGGATCATTCTCGTGCGTTAGAGTGTGTTGTGCTGGTCTGAGTGGATCAGACACAGCAGTGCTGCTGGAGTTTTTAAACACCTCAGTGTCACTGCTGGACTGAGAATAGTCCACCAACCAAAAATATCCATCCGACAGCGTCCTGTGGCCACTGATGAATGACTAGAGGATGACCAACACAAACTGTGCAGCAGCAGATGAGCTATCATCAACATCTACTTTACATCTACAAGGTGGACTGACAAGGTAGGAGTGTCTAATATAGTGGACAGTGAGTGGACACAGTGTTTTCAGCAGCACTGCTGTGTCTGATCCACTCGTACCAGCACAACACACACTAACACACCACCACCACGTCAGTGTTGCTGAGAATGATCCACCACCCAAATAGTACCTGCTCTGTGGGGGTCCATGGGGGTCCTGACCACTGAAGAACAGGGTAAAAGGGGGCTAACAAAGTATGCAGAGAAACAGATGGACTACAGTCTGTAATTGTAGAACTACAGAGTGCACCTATATAGTAAGTGGAGCTGATAAAATGGACAGTGAGTGTAGAAACAAGGAGGTGGTCATAATGTTATGCCTGATCGGTGTATATCTGGATTTTCACCATAATCAAATGTGTAATCAGTGTGTTAATTGTAGATAACTTGGTGAAACAGAGTTATAATTGAGTTTATGTTCATTCATAAAGGTCTTCTTTCTTTTTGGTCATAATGTTATGCCTGATCGGTGTATATGGATCAATGTGCTGCTCAGATGCGTCTTGGATGTTAAATGAATGTGTTTCTCACAGAGTTTTCAGATGAAGCCAAACTCTATAAAGATATAGAGAGTATTTTAATGGAGAGAAATGCACAGCTGATAGAAAAAGACAAACAAATACAAGAGAAAGAAAAACTTCTGACAAAAATCACAGAGACACTTCAGATGAAGGACAAGATGCTGGAAGAGAAAGAAACACTTCTTCAGGAGACGAAAGAAAAACTGGAACAAATGGCCAAAAAGACTCAGACACAGCCTAAAGATAAAGACTCACAACTGGAGAATCAGATCAAACTGCTGAGAGAGAAAGAGACTCTACTGGAGATCACAGTGAAAGAGGAGGAAAGCAGTAAAAAGCAGCTGGAGACTCTGAGAAAGGAACTGCAGGACAAGAGCAGCAAACTACAGGAGATGATGATCCTACTGGAACAACAGAAAACTGAACTCACCCGTCAGCAGGAAGAGTTAGAAGAGAAAGAACAACAACTGAAACACACAGGTAAGAATTTAAGACACAGACTGATTGTAAAATATCTGACTGATAAATTAATATTCTGTCTTTATCATTTCAGCACAACAGAATTCTGACCTACAGACTGAAACTGAAACCCTGAAAACTCTCCTTTCATCACAGACGACTGGTGAGTTTTCAGATTTAAAGATTTAAATCTTTACTTACTAAATTAGTAAATATAATTAAGTAACAACACTATGAAATATAGGTATAATACATGTAATTGAGTCTGCCAGTCAGATGTTTGGACACACCCATCTTAATATTTATTTTCTATAATCTTTATCAATGTCATGGTTTCCTCTTTGTTCAGAGTGTGTCTGTTTCCTCCCCTCTGTTGTAGCCATGTGCCTTTTGTTTACTTTTACCATGTGTTTTTGTTGTTGTGTTGTTCTGTCTCCTCCCTTGTCCTACTCCCTTATCTGCTCCACCTGCCTGTAGCTCCGTCTCCTCATTAGTCCCAGGTGTTTCTTGTTTTTCCTCAGTGTATTTATACCCCTGTGTTTGTTCAGTCTCTTTGTCTTGCACTGTGGATGTTCCTCTGTTGCTTGTTTTCTTTGATCTTTTTGTTTGGTTTTATTTCATTATGGACTTATCTGATCTTCCAACTTCTCCTTCTCAGTTTCTGGACTCTGTTAACTCTAATTTCAATAAAAGCAACTCATACCTGCATCCCGCCTCCAATGTTACAATCAAAAGTCTCTTTCTTAAATGCAAGAAAGTGTAAACAAGTGTGCTAAGCTGCATCAAGAGAAAGGAAGGCTGAGTTCTAAAATCATCTGAAGTATATGATATTTTGATTTGTTTGACACTGTTTATTGTTTCTGCGTGATTTTGTGTTACTTTATCTTCACTTTAATTCTAAAATTTGAGAAAATATATAAAAAAGATAAACTCTTATATGAGAGAAAGTGTGTCTATATGTCTCCAAACTTTTGACTTGTAATTATATTTATTTGTTGTTAATGAATCTTTACTATTAATTTCCTCATTAACATATTTATTTTTTTCCTTATTTTTATAGATTTTCTTCCCAGCTTTCTTAACAGAGAGATAAAATCTATTCCACTTTAACCCTTTAAACACCCAGAACCCACTGATGGGTCCAAAGTGTTATCACACACTTATATAACATAAGAATAGATCAGCCAGTTTGCTTTGAAGTTGTAGTTACTGAACTATAAGCCTTAACTAATAAGCTTAACATTTTAAGGGGCTAATATTTCCTTACTTGTTAAATCTCAGTTCTGTGTATCTGTCATCTTGGCAAACTGAATTGTTCTAACAGATTTAACTGAAAAAAACAAACAGCTCAAAGAAACAAAACACATTCTATCTGAGAGAAATACACAGCTAATGGAGAGAGAAAAACAATTGGAGGAGAAAGACAGACTTCTGACAGAAAATACAACAACACTTCAGATGAAGGAGAAGATTTTAGAAGAGAAAGACAAACTTCTCACAGAGACACAAGATGAACTGAGACAAACAACAAAGACATTAGAGAATCATAGAATACAAATGGAAGAAATGGAGAAAAGACTTGTGGAGAAAGATGAAGAATTAAAAGAGACAAAACAAGAACTGAAAGATAAAAACACGATTATAAAAGAACATTTAGAGACTGTTGATACGAGAGATTCATTATTAAAGGAAACTAATGAAAGATTAGAAAGTGTTAATAAACAGCTTAAAGATAAAGACTCACAACTGGAGAATCAGATCAAACTGCTGAGAGAGAAAGAGACTCTACTGGAGATCACAGTGAAAGAGGAGGAAAGCAGTAAAAAGCAGCTGGAGACTCTGAGAAAGGAACTGCAGGACAAGAGCAGCAAACTACAGGAGATGATGATCCTACTGGAACAACAGAAAACTGAAGTGAGTGAAAAAGACAAACAGCTTGAAGAGAAGGAGAGACTTCTAAGTGAGAGAAACACACAGCTAATGGAAAGAGACAAGCAGGTTGAGGAGAAAGACAGACTTCTAGAGGAGAGAAACAAGCAGCTGCAAGAGAGAACAGATCCAGACTCAGCAGCTCCAGCCAGGAGAAGGAAAAAGATTGAGCCTCTAGAATGTAAGTGACTACTCAGGTTGGCTGAAGATGCTTAAAATTTCAAAATCTAAATGTTTAAAATATGTACTTTACTATGAAGATGCAATATGATTGAGTAAATTTTGAGTAAAGTTATAGATCTGCAAGGTAAGGAACAAAACTGAGTAAAAGTAGGATAAATTGAGCAGGTTCTGCTGCAGCCGTTACTGCAGGAACTCTTTACCTAAAGGAGGAGCAGCTGAGCTGCTGTGCTGAACCAGAGGAGATCCACGCTGAGGACAAAGAGACGCTACTCGCTATAATAACACTTATATTCAGCTGTGGTACCCTTTTAATCACTCCAAATAACAAACATAGTTATTTAATTCTTGACATTTATTAATTTCACAAATCAAAAACATAAAAACTTGTAAAACAATTTAACAAGCATAGCAAAAATATTAGATTTTTAAAAAATACATTTAAACTTCTCTTCAGTGATCATTAGTCGTTAAGACTAAACCAGACATTCAAAGACAAAATTACCAAGATTGAGGCTGTAACGTTTGAACAGAAAGCAGACGCTCGTGGTTTGAAAACAAAAAGGAAGCTTTACTTGGGGAATCAGGGATGAACATCGTAGTCAGATGACAAGCATGGGTCAGTTCCAGAAAACACAGCAAGATGAGAATGCTACCATAACAGACTACCATAAAAGGGCAAAACAGGTCGAAGTCCACAAAACAAGCAAAGGGTCAAAATCACCAATCCAAATAACCAGGCAGAAGTACAAAAGGGCAAATCCAAAAACAGAGTCAGAGAAAACGATAAGAATAAAGTCATAACCAGGAAAACAATCACAAAGAAAACGCTCAGTAGTTTCGTAGAGAAAGCAATACCTTGCAAAGATTCTAACTAAAGCCTGGGCTTAAATATTATCTAAAACAGCTGCAAAGCATTAGTATTCAGGCGAACTTGAGCGATGATTGGAGGATGAGGATCTCTCCGGAGTCATGTGACTTTGCTGAGGAATCTGGGAAATGGAGTTCGTGTCAGAACATGCGAGCGAGGGATCCGTCTGATGAGTGGCAGGAAGCGTGACAGTACCCCCCTCCAAAGAGTCCTGGCGGGCCTTGGTACGAGGGCGACCAGGACGACCACCGAGCCCCCCACCGGACCTCTGAACAGGGGCGGAACCAGAACCGTCGAGGCGCTGGACGGATGGGGTTTGATCATGGTGTCTCCGCAAACGCGCCACAAGGGAGGCAGGGGGCCCCTTACGTGGGCGACCCCTGGAACGTGGAGCAGGCTTTACCGGGTGCTGGCTGTGAAAGTCTGCGACAAGACCTGGATCCAAAACGTCTTTAGCCAGCACCCAACTCTGCTCCTCAGGACCGTAACCCTCCCAATCCACCAGATATTGCAACAGTCCACCCCGCCTCCTGGAGTCCAGCAACCTCCGAACAGCATAGACTGGGGCCTCATCTATCACCTCCGGCGGGGGTGGTGTGACGTCCAGCGACACCTCGTCCAATGGGCCTGCAACAACAGGTTTAAGAAGGGACACATGAAAAGACCATGAAACTCTAAACCTAGGGGGTAATTCTAACCTATAAGTCACCTCGTTAATCCTTTTAACAACTTTAAATGGTCCAATATATTTAGGTTGGAGCTTTCCACTTCCCTCCGTCTGGCGAAAGTCTCTCATGGCCAGGCAGACGCGATCACCAGGTTGGTAGACAGGCGTTTCACCTCTGTGCCGGTCGGCCTGTTTTGTTCCTTTGTAGGACAGTCTCTATGCGTCTGTGCGTCTGTTCCCAGACCTGTTCACTCCAGCTCACCCAGTCATCCACAGCCGGAACCTCTGTCACTGAACCTGTCCATGGTGCTAAGGGTGGCTGATAGCCCAAAAAACACTGAAAAGGAGTCATCCCTGTGGTAGAGCTGGTTAGAGAATTTTGGGCTATTTCGGCCCAGGCTAAAAACCTATACCAATCAGAAGGGTTGTCATAGCAAAAAATTCTCAAAAACTTGCCTAGCTCTTGGTTCATACGTTCACATTGTCCTACTCCAATGTGCTCAAAAAACGTGAACTGTGACCCACGATCAGAAACAATGTCCTCCGGGATCCCAAACAGCCTAAATACATGATTAAACAAGGCTTCAGCAGTCTGGAAAGCACTTGGAATGTTTTGAAATGGAATGAATCTGACTCCCCTTGAAAATCTATCAATCACTGTAAGGATGGTGTTAAAACCTTGCGAATCTGAAAGGTCAGTCAGAAAGTCAATGGCTACATGAGACCAAGGTCTGGCAGGTATCGGAAGGGGCATTAGCTTGCCTGCAGGTAGGGTTTTCGGGGTCTTACATTGTGAGCAAGTGGAGCTGTGAGCTAATAGCTGATGTGTTTGTGTCTCCCCAGGGTGGCCCGAAGTAAGAGATGAATGGGCCCAAGTTATCAACCTATTAAGACATTGTGGGGGTACATACTTTCTTCCTGCAGGACACTGATTAGGAATGGAAGTGTTAACTAAAGCAGCTTCTATATCATCATCCATTTCCCAGCGTATCGATGAAAGGATCACTTCTGGGGGTATAATGGGTTTAGCGTTCTCCAGCTCTGTGTTGACACTGTCTCTTTGATGTATGTGGGAAAGAGCGTTGGCCTTGGTATTACGAGATCCTGATAGATAAGTGATGCTGAAATTGAAACGGGCAAAAAACAGTGACCATTGAGCTTGACGAGCATTCAATCTCCAGGCATTCCTAAGATATTCTAAATTCTAGTGATCAGTGAGCACGGTGAAAGGATGGTTTGCTCCCTCAAGCCAATGTCTCCACTCTTCTAAGGCTAATTTTACAGCTAATAATTCTCTATCACCAATACCATAGTTCATTTCTGCTGGCGACAACTTGTGGAAATAAAAGGCGATCGGATGCAATTTCTGAGGGGACCCAGTTCTCTGCGACAAAACTGCTCCTACGCCAGTCTCTGATGCGTCCACTTCTACCACAAAAGGTTGGGAAGGATCGGCGTGTTTGAGAATGGGAGCTGTGGTAAAAGCTGCTTTGAGACGTTGAAAGGCAGCCTCTGCTTGCTCTGACCAGCGGATCTTTTTTTGCGAACCTTTTAATAGGGAAGTAAGAGGAGCTGTGATAGTGCTGAAATTTCTAATGAACCTCCTATAGAAATTTGCGAATCCCAAAAATCTTTGCAACTCCTTGACTGAAGTGGGAGCGGGCCAATTTACCACTGCATCAACCTTGTGATCATTCATTATCTCTCCCTGATTACTAACGACATATCCTAAGAAGTCGACAAACTCCAAGTTGAACTTGCGTTTTTCTCTTTCAACATATAGATTATTGTCCAATAGCCTCTTCAAAACTGCACGGACATGTTGCACATGAGTCTCCTGGTCTGGTGAGTAAACGAGAATATCGTCTAGATATGCAATGACAAAGTTCCCTAGCATATCCCGCAGTACCTCATTTATGAAAGCTTGGAAAACAGAGGGCGCTATAGAGAGCCCGAATGGCATCACGAGGTATTCATAGTGCCCCCTAGTGGTCATGAAGGCCATCTTCCACTCGTCTCCCTCTCTGA